GAATATGTTTGAGTTTTTTTGTTTTTTTTTTACACAAATTTTGGGATTTTTGTCCTTAACTCCTCCCCCCAACCACCCCCACCACACACACACACACACTTTGTAAGTGCAGGGGGAACTAAAAACAAAGGACCTGTTTTAATAATGATACAGCTATGAGTGAGAGCACACGTCCCTGACTACTATTATCTACATGCTTCTAGTTGCTATGCAATGAGAGCATGGCCGGCTATATCCAAACATTCCTGCCATCATTTGCCTTAAATGGGATCATATGGTGCAAGTTCAGAAAAACACATAGGATCCATTGGAGACGAAGCTGGGCATGTATCTGTGTATGTATCTGTGTATGTATCTGTGCATATGCACATCTTTTTGCGCATGTGCCTAACCTGACACTCAATTAGGTACTAGAGCTGGGTTTAATAAAGCAAACCAATGGCCAGTTGTAATTTTGGGCACTGAGGCCGGCCCCACACTCTCAGTCTCTTTATTTCCTTCTTTGTGTCACTTTTCCCTCCAACCTTTATATTCCCTTTCTCTTTCATTTTTCATTCCGCTCATTATATCGTTCATTCTCTCTTCCTCTTCTTCTGTTCTTTCTCCCCTATATCTGTCATTCTAAAGCTATGTCACAGCTCATATATCACCCAGCAATCATCTAGAGCACGGCTGGTGACCACCACCACCAACCAACTTCTACCAGACCCCCCTCTTCTTGACTATTCCAGACCACCAAAGAGCTCTGTGGCCAGAAAACCAGCTGTGGTAGCTGCATTATAGCTGAATCCATCACTAGGGGAAATGCCAATTTTATGCTAATTTAAAATACCTTGATCTTTTGTCTTTCAAATGCTGTCTTTCACAAAACACTAACACCGGCAAGCAATGCTGGGACAAAAACTATGCTTTAAACTTTTTTTACTACATGGAAAGAGTTTAGACTGTAGAAAGTTAAAAGCACTGGCCTACATTTCTACTAAATACTACTCTCTACAACTCCCTTGCAGGAAAAAACAAGCCGTGTAGCATTTGTACCACTGCCATTGTTTAAAATAACTGGTAGGCAAAATCATCCATCTTCTATAATGACTTATTTAAAAGTACTCCCAGACTGGAGCATCTTAGTCTATTTGTTATCTGATGGGTTTTCTGGAATGTCACAGACACATTGACCTAAAACTGTTGTCTAATTTTCTATTTACACACAGTTCTGTATGTAAGCAGGAAAGTGGACAAGTACACACAAACACAAATATGTAGACAGTGAACAAAGTCATATTTCCAATATTTTATACCAATTTTCAGAATGCAAGGACAAAAGATAAGACAGTTATTTTCCTGTAACCACAATGGTCCGTCTGCAGGTCTTAACACTCCCTGTGATTCTTCACTGTGTACGAATATAACTGCATCGACCAAAGTTATCATCAACAGGGAAAAGAATATCTTATGAAAACGGAGATTCAGTGCACTCATGGCAATGTACAGACCAAAGAATCTATTATTTTATCAATACTTCAGCCATATGACTTCTTTTTAGATTTCACTGTTACCATCTGTGCAGCTTACAATTTACCAGTCATAAAATCAGACACACACTCGCCATGCTCTGCACAGCACGCTGTACACTCACACACAAATGCATGTAGACTCGAGTAATGTGTGGGAGGTCACTGTGGTCAGTGTGTCGCTGAATCTGAGGTTAGTAGCAGCTAGAAGCAGTGGTAGACAGGAATTACTGGCTCCATTCTACTACTATTACAACTGCTGCTACTCCTCTGGCTGCTACTGCAAACCACAAAAGCATCCTGGAAGCATAAACAAAGAGAATGTATAAGACATGCTGGCCACTGAGAGTCACAGCAGAAGAGGAGAAAAAGAAAATAAATTGTAGGATCAGAAGAAGAAAAATGAGATGGTGTGAGACAATGAATTCATTAGCAAAAGCAGAGACGTGACAAATCCAAAAGAGTTTGAGGGGAAAATAAAAGTTGGCAGCATAGATCTGCACAGAAAAGATACAAAGACAGGGTGACAAAAAAAAAAAAAAAACAAGCAAGAGAGAGAGTAGGGTTTGAAGCAAACATGACAAAATATAGAGTGGATTTAAACGTCCTTGGGCATGACAAGGCTGAGAGTGCCTGCATTGACTGACACACACAAAAGCACACATACACGGTATCTCCACATGTATTACCTCTCCATTTTCACCAGACAACCAGAGACAAAGGGATCACCAATAAAATACAACACTAGTGTGGGCTTCACTTGAAAGCAAAGGAGGATTCTGGACTCATGTGTCACACCAGAAAACTCTGCTGATGTCTGAACCACGCGCCCTACGGCAGTACTGATAATCAACACTGCAGACAGCTGTGTGACAAACTAACTAGTCATGCAGTAGGCAATGACTGACAATGTCTGATTCTGAAGGAAAATAGAATTTTCTGGTTTGTTTTCTGAATTCACTCATCTGTGGGATTGAGAAACACATGCTACATTGCATAAGCTGTGCACTGTGTTGGTCCTGTAGTTGCCACTGAGCACCACAGTAACTCAAAGTATTACAAGTCCTAGCAGTTGTGTTCCAGTCAGCTGCAATGAATTTAAATCTCTGAATGTTGCTTTAAGTATTTTGAAGAATATTTTACAGTCTGTCATTACCTTGAGATTAAAACTAAAGCTGTTGAGTTTGCCCGTTGCTGAACTGTGGAATTTCCTTTGGACAGGGAATGAAATCTCATACTCAAATAGCTCCCTCCCGCGAAGGACACTGACCATCTGTGTTATCAGCTAACCTTCAATATGAAACACCTTCCACTATTGAAATATCCTGCAACATCAAAAGGAAAGGAGGAAGGACAAATTCCTCAAAGATGGAAAAAAACATATGTCCAACATGAGTAGCTTTTGTTTGCCATGTTCAGAATTTAACCTCAGCGTTTCAGTGTGTCAGTCTTGTCCAGGCAATAGCCTGATGACTGCTAGCTGGTGACACAAGAACAAACACAGGATTTAAATCTGGATTTAGATCTGAGTCTTGTGAGCGTTATAACAGACCCGCCACTTTTACCACAAACGGTTGCAGCAAGTCAGCTGGCGAGTCACACTGGAGAAAAAATGCAGCCACTGCTACCATTTCAAACACTTTGCTTTTCTACTGAACAGAGGACCACATAAGTGGCGTAGTTTAACTGTACACTGCCTATTGTTGTCATTAGATAACTGTAAAGTATGTAAAGTAATGAGCACTGCAAGCAGTGAGCTCTTCTTAGGGATTTATGATATTAAGGTCTTTGCAAAAATGACACCAGGTTTGTCTTAGTTAAGGGAAACCACTGAAGTGAAGTGAAGCAGAGCAGAGAGGAGCTGTTGGGAAGACAAGCAACCAGCAGCGAACAACTGGCAAGGTCCCATCATGACATTATAGTGTGGACACAACCACACTTCCCACAAGGAACCGAAAGTATTCCACAAGGTTGCACGTTGTAAGGCAGATGCACTGCAGCAAATAAAGTTCACAACTGTTTATCCAACATTTTATTCACTCTACTAACTCCACTACTCATTTCTTCTTTCAGCTCCCCTTTTTCCATTTTGCCTCCACACTTAAATTGTCACAGCATACAGTGTGAGGGATTGGGACAGCTAACATGTTCCTTAAGGCATAACAGTGTGACCACAATTTCAAAAGCAGATACAGAACTAGACATCTTTGGTTATATCATAGGAATTATTGCTGAGTATTTTTCCCACTAAACATATACTTACACAACACATCACCTATTCCCCTTCACTCGTTTGCCTTCTAAGTACAAACTCTTTCCCCCACTGCTCTTTTTCTAACCTGCCAGCACATGGACCAGATGTGCAAATGTTTCTCCATGTCGCTATTCAAGCCCCGTTCCAAGAGAAAGGCAGAATGAGTGGAGAGGAATATTTGACTTCACTCCACGGGAGACCAGTTTCATAAATTTTGGCGGCTACACAACGGTGAAAAAGGTAGCTTGGCTGGCTTGGCTGAGGGAGAATGTTGACGGCATACCAAACAACATGATCCTAATGAGTTGGAAAATCCCAGGCCCTCCAGAGGACTGTCCAGATGCTACCGTCATGAGAAACGCTACTGTTTTATTGAATTCAGGCTCCCCTCCCTTTCTTTAACAAGGGGCAAAATTTATTATTTGACCATTAAGGCATCTAGGCGACATGAAGCGTTTCAGACTTAATTTGCCCTCAGCTGCAGGTCCAGTACCCCACACTGGGCACAAGACAAGTTGATCTTTACGTGTCTCATGTGAACCTGTATATTTGGAGATCTCAAGTTTTGGATATGTGCTTGGACCCCTGGCATAGGGTCTGCAGCCAATTTGCCCTTAGCTCACTAGTCACTATCAGGTTGACTTGTTTTCCATGAATGATAGTCTGGCACACAGGCTGAGCGCTCAGAAATAACTGTAAAACTTTTCATAAGACTCAAATCACTTTTAGCTCTATCCAGTTCCATATATCGCTCCTTACAATTTACTGGTACTAAGAAACAAGCTTTATTTTATACAGAACTAAACAAACAAAGGGCACTAAATGTACTTTATGAGGAAAAGGAGATTTCAATAAATCAACTACAATAATGAATGCATTAACATCTAATACAATGGTCTAAAAGAGACCAGATGAGCCTGTTTGTTCTTTGTTCTATGACTATAGAGCCATTAAAGGACAGAATAAATCTTTGCTGTGTTTTTTATTGTGCCAAGTGACTGAGTTGCCATTGCAGAATTATAATTGCTACCCGAGAGTAACAACTACATTATGAAAAAAGCTGAAAAACACATACTGAACCTATTGCCACACTGAGCAATTATAAACACATGCCCTTCCTCCTCTACATTATTAACCCACATTATTAACTTGGTCAGATATCAGAAAGTTGTGAAACTGGACTGTGGTGGACAATGGATTTGCTGTTAACAAGCAGGTAATCTCAAGTAACTTACCTGGAGCTTTGTACACCTCATTGAACAAACTTTCACTGAGTGTCAATGGGGCTCCGTTGACCATGCTGTGGGTCCAGCTCTGACAGATTGCTTGGAGCAGAAGCGTCTGGGCCCTTGTGGCCTGTATAGTGAAGTGGGGAAGTTCAAAAATACACTCTGTGGTAGGGACTGAAGACCTTTTGCTCCTGCAAGAGAAGGGACAAGAAACATAGGGTTAGATCGAAGGTAGTACATGGGGTAAGACAGACACAAGCACAGTCAGGGTATAGCGACAATAAATGAAAGAATAGAGAACTGCACATAAACGGCAATATTCACTGAATGAAATAGACACCGGTGGAAACAAATGGTTCACAACTTCCACAAATCCATCAATATCACATCGCAATATAAAACAGCTCATTGATAGCACAAAGGGCCAAATAAGTAGAACTACATTCCAACAGTAAATTGAAGAAGTACCAAGTGTGAGCCAAGCTTTCCTTAGTTACTTGGCAGGTAGGTTTAGTTTGCCGACCCTTCTCTCCCCTCCGTCAAAACTGTGATGATGATTTATGTGAAAAGATGTACAGCCCAGAAACCTGACCCTGAAAAGAATCTCTACGCATTTAACATTTCATCTGTCTCCAAGAGTGTGGAGGGAGAGAGTTTGTGTGAGTCTGTGCGTATGACAAGCTGATGAGTTGAGCGTTCAGGGGGATGAGGTAACAGCACAGTCCGATGCAGTCCTCCAGGCCCCTGTCCATCAGAACCTCAGTGGACCATGCTCTCATTTATCATCTGACACACACAC